TTTCAGCTTGCAGGACACAGCTTTCTCTGCGTCTGGCCTGAAATGGTGGAGCTCGCTGCCAACTCCCCTCCCCCAAGCCCTTCCACAGGGGAACCACTGATTTGCTTCTGTCCAGCCTGCAGTGTTAAAAAAGCACTTATTCCAACTCATGCTAACAAAATAGGGGGCAGAATTTGGAAAATGCTGTTCATTCATTAGGCATTTGTTTAAAAACATCCAACAATCTCAGCTCCTTTATTTTTTTTGTTTAAACTCAAAACATTTTCATTCATTTTAGTAATTTTGATTTCTCACTGTTCGTGTCCTTCATTTTTTTTTCAGACCTTATAAAATGTGAATAAAACTTTTGAAATGGCAATTAAAACAGGTTTCTTCCTGTGGAGAGAGCCTAAGTGTGACTGTGCTGCAGGCTATTGTCCTGCTTCATTTCTTCCTTTCTCAGACCTATCCTTCATCTTCCATCATCTGTGATTTAGACTAAGCTCTTCGTGGCAAGGACCTTCGTTTTATATTCATCTCTGCCGAAAGCAGAGACACTTACTGGTTTCTGAAAGTATAAAGAATGTAGTGGATCAATGCCATTATCCTGAACTGCTCTTAGAAGACAAAGGCAGGTCTTGAATTGATACTCTCGGGAGTGCAGAAGCAGAGCTACATTTTGGACTACTGCAGACTTGCCAGAGGACTGTCTGTATATCTCCTCCTAAAGATCATAGCCAGGGTAAAAGCTACAAAAACACGAGTGACTGTGATAAAGCTTGTAAAACAGGATTGCCTCATCAAATCAAGCAAATTCTGACAAAAAATTTGACTGCTAGGATTAAGATAGCCAAAGACTTGGCAGCAGACTGGACTCTGAGCTCAATCAGAGCATAGTGTCAATAGGCTGCATTGATTTAAAGTAAAAACGAGGTGAGCAGGTCTGCTTTTGGGTAGGCACTAAAGGCACTTGTCCAGGAGGCAGTAAAGCAAGTGCATTAGATCCTTGGGAGATTTGAGATTCGTGATTTGTGATTGGGGGAAATAAATGAGGGACTTGATCTCCAGGGCATCTCTCTTCCAGCTAAAAGCTCTCATGATGCTAAGCATCCCTGTTTTCCCTCAAATTCTGCAACAGGTGCCTGCAGCCTGCATGAAAGAAAGTGGTTTTAAAGCATCTTTTGTGGTTTTTTGGGTTGTTTGTTTGTTTGTTCGGTTTGGTTTGTTTTGTTTCGGTTTTGGCGATGGCTTGGATCAAATTCTGCAACAGGTGCCTGCAGCCTGCATGAAAGAAAGTGGTTTTAAAGCATCTTTTGTGGTTTTTTGGGTTGTTTGTTTGTTTGTTTGGTTTGTTTTGTTTTGTTTCGTTTTTGGCGATGGCTTGGACGCCAGTGTATCCAACACATTGCATTCTGTGATCCCTGTTTGAGAGGCCCAAGCCTGCCTGGGCACCCATGGTGCTGCCCTGGAGCTGAGCAGTGCAGTCCCAAGCATCATGCTGCTGTCACCCTTGGTCAAACACCTGCTGTCAGAGTCCTGGATTTGTGTTTCTGCATCAGCACTTTAGCTGCTCTCTGTATGGTACTCATTTATTTATGTTCAATTGACAGGCCTCTCAGGACAAAAAAAACCTTTCAATCTACCTATTAAAATACTTTGTAACTTGGAAGATAATGAAATTATTTGCTCTCTCTTGTGTGTGGTTATTTTTTAAATTTTTTTAAATTCATAGAGACTTGTTCCAGCACCACACAGCTTATTGATCTGCCTTCCCAAATTCACCGACACAATCTTTGGTGTATGGGTTTTAACTGACCCCTTCACTGACAGGTAGTCAATCAACAGCAGGGAGAGCTGGTGATGTTGAGCTCGTGATAGCTGGTTTCAGGAACTGCAAAAGACTTGCTCCTCTACAAGCCTCAAGATTCCTTTGAAAAGGTAGGTTTAAATGGCATGGAAATACATCTCTGAGTTTAACACAGAAGTGTGCTTTGTTGGGGTGAGGCTTTTACTACGGAGAGATGTAAACCTCCCTAGGCTAAAACTACAGAGATAATTATGTATAGCATGGGAGCCCCAGCACAGCAATTGATCCAGTGTGACCCCTATATAGCTAATTACAGATTGTCAAGGCAATTTCTGTTCAAGCCAGACTGATAATTAATTAGCTACCTCCACATTGAAATCCTGACCTTGGCTTGGCACAGGGAAAACAGAGACTTGTGTATCTGGCCAAAGCATCTCCTTGCTGCCCAGGGGCAGGTAGACAAGGCATTAACAGCTGAAAATGGAAAATGGCAAATGGAAGGCCAAATGAAAGAGTTTACCTGCTCTTTCCTTCCTCTCCTGTTCTTCCTCCTCCAAAACCAATTGCTCAGGCTAAAAGAATAAATAAAATCCACAGAACTATAATCATCTTTTGGAGACTTTCAGTTAATTCATACCACAGAATAGAGGATGTAGCTCTTCTGATAACTTTTTGGTCAAAATTCAGACTGGCAATTTATTCCTGCTGTATTGTCTTTCAACCAGTCGCTAATCCATGACAGAAATTTACCTTCTACCTTGTGCCTACCTGGTTTCCTTAGTAACTTCTTATAAGAATATGACAAAAGCTTGGAAAAGACCAAATTGTCAACTGCTCAATCTTTATTTATACAAAATTATGTGCTGTTAAATCTACTAGACCTCTAACAAAGCTGCCTGATGTATTTCAGAGAACATTTAATTCTTTCTTGTTCAAAAGAGGTTCAGATATTATTAAACTGAAACCCCTCCCTCCTCCCCCCTCCCCCCCAAAATATAAGAATCTATTTGCTTGTGTAAACAGATTTAAGGCCTGGAAGTTACCTGAACCTCCATACATACTTTATATATAGCCTTTGTTTATGAGAGTCAGTACCAAGATTACTTTTTCAGCTTTGCAAAAATTTAAAGTGTTTTGCAGAAAAAAAGTGGTTAAAATCAATCCTCTATGATAACTTCAGAAAGAATTTAGATTATTTAAATACTATCAAAATGGATGCATGAATAAAGATGTAATGAGTTTATCATTTAGGAGCAACAGTGGGGCCAGAGTCAGGACATAAGAGACTCAGAGCATCTTTAATTGTGAAACAAAGAAGAAGAAGGAGTGCAGACTTGCAATAATTGTATGTTTCATTGTCTGTGTTACTTCAAAACTCCCACCATGGCATGGGCTCCACTCGCCAGACAGCGCAGATGCAAAATTTCTGTCTGTCCTACAAGGTTGTAGTGTAAATGGACAGTACTGGGACATGCAGGAGGAAAGAATAAAACAAGAGAGCTGTGCAAAGAGTTCAGGTGCTTTGCAGTAAATACCTTGCAGGGGAAAGTCTGACAAAAAAGGAAGCCAGGAAGGGAGTGGCATTCTCCTAAATCTTTTGGGCACTTCAATTTTTTTTCCTTTAAAGATCTAGAAATTGTTTCCTGGCCTGTGTCAAGCTTCTTTTAGTAGTCTCCAGGCAATCCATCCACACAGCTTTCCAATGGCAAAAATTGCCATGTTTGTGTTCTTCATAGATGGAAAATGATTGGATCAGAAGCTGTTGCTCAAACTAAATGTGGAAGGGTGTACAGTTAAGTGCAGAAGAATGGTGAGGAAATAGGTGATGGATGTCAGTCAGTGACAACCCAGATATCACTTATAATGAAACCCTTTATGCTTTGTTAAGATCACTGCTCTGTGCTGTAATATGTTGTCACTTCCATTGCCTTTGGATGGGTTTTCCCACATCATGCTCTCTGTTGTAATCAGCTATGCGCTTCTCACCTTGTTCATGTACCCATCACATCTCTCACATAAAAAGTGTCATAAACTCATGTCCATGGTTTTCTACCATGGGCCAGTGCCAGGGATGGCCCCACTTGCTGCTCACCTTGCTCTGGAAGCTACTGAGGAACCCTGTTGGGGATGCTGAAGTAATAGATGCCTTCTGAGCATTGCTGTGTGCATTGTACTTGTTTATCTCATCCTGCTTGAGTCCAGGTGGGCATTAATACTGGCAGAGGCCAGTCTGCTGCTCTCACCTTGACCAAAAAACAAGGAGCAAAAGGAAAAACGAATTTTGGAAGAAGTATCGACCTGAAGTGTCAGAATTTAAGAAAATCTGCACCTATTATGAGTTAGAAGGAGACTGAGTGTTGAAATTAGATTTTCTTGTATCAAATTGAAATGCACCTCTGTCTTTCTGGGCTGGCTGGTGTTTTGGGAGGAGATTCTGGGTCAAAAGAACCTGCCAGAGCTGCTGCTCAGGGACTGTGGTGTTGGTGGATACAGTACGCCAGGCTGGAAGCAGAACAGAGATGAGTCTGGGTTGGCATTATTCCCTCTCCCCCTGCCTTGGAGGTACTTTTGCCCCTCGAGGGGGTCAGGTGGGGTGAGAAGGGAAAGCAGGGGCTGTGGTGGTATCACCTTTCCTGGCGCATGTGCTGCATCTGGGAGGCTGATGGCAACAGAGGGACCCTGGGAGCCCACACCAGCCAGATCCTAACAAAAAAATACTGATTGCTCACAGTGTCCTGTCCAAGCAAAGCCTTGGGAATGGTTTTTTGTCAGAATAAAAGGCACAGGAAGTCTCTGTTTCAGGTTAGCCTTCACAGTGCTTGTGAGTGTTTACGCTGGCTTCCCAGGCGGTGCCGCAGACCATTGGTGTGGAAGGAGGCGCTCCGGGGATGGAGCATCCCGGCAGGCGCACGGCGGGGATGGCGCGCACCGGGGCGAGCCCCCGACCCGGCCGCTGGGCCGAGGTTCCCCAACGGGTTTGCGTGCGCAAGGGAACGACGGGCAAAGGCAGAGATCGCGTGAGTGCGGCCGGTCGGGCCGGAGCCCGCTGCCGGTGCTCCCGGAGATAGCTGGTCCGAGACCAGCCTCCCCGCGCCTGCCGCCGAGGGCTTGCGGGGGTTCGCTCTCTGCGCGACGGCGCCGTCCGAGGGCGAAACGAGGGGCCGGGGTGTCCCGCAACTTTTCCCCGCGGCCGGCGGCGCCCGGCGGCTCTGTAGCGGCGGGGCCGGGGCGTCGTCATCTGCATTCACATGGGGGCGGCGCCGCCGGCCTCCGCCTGAAGCCCCCGCCGGGGGAGACACAAAACCCACGCGAGGCGCGGGGCGCCGCGACCCCCGCCCGCCGGCGCCATCGCCATGAATTCGGCGGAGCAGACCGTTACGTGGCTGATCGCCCTGGGCGTGCTGGAGTCGCCCAAAAAGACCATCTCCGACCCCGAGGGCTTCCTTCAGTCCTCCCTGAAGGACGGCGTGGTGCTGTGCCGCCTGCTCGACCGCCTGCTCCCGGGCACCATAGACAAAGTAAGTGCCCGCGGCCCCCGCCCCGCCGCCCTTTGTGCGGCCGGGCCCCGGCGGGGGGCGCGGGGGGCGGAGCGGGGCCGGGGGAGAGCGGGGAGCGGCAGCCGGGCCGGAGGGGCTTCCCCCCGAGGGGCCACTGTTCTGCAAGTGCTGTACGATCGCTCCGCTCCCCAAAGCGGAGCTGCTGTGCGCGGGAGATGCATTCATTCTGGGGGGGGGGGGGGGGGGGGGGACTATGGACCCTTCTTTGCGTGCCACGAGCCGGCTGCAAACTTATCTACGCAACTGCTGGAACAGCCGGTGCCTCACCTCGCCTGGGAGGTGATTCAGCTCATCCCTTCCAGCCTCTGAAGGACATTTTAGCCTTTGATGCTTAGTTTTCATGAAGGCTGTTTTAGCGTTATTTGGGTCCTTTACTGTTCGGTAGCCTGTGGAAAAAAATCTCATCGTTTTTTGGGGGAGGCTGAAAAAACGCGTTACAGCTCTAGTTTGCGTTGTGTTTGAAGAAAATGTACTCTGTCAGGTAACTTTTATGTGTTCTGTGTGCGTACGTAATTCCTGTCGTAGCTCAGCCAGAGGGAGAGGGGTTTGGTTGTGCCTCAAAACTCGGGACAGAACCGTTGTCTCACCTGATGTTCAATAATGTAGTGCACGCAGAGATCCACATATTGGCAAAAACTTTCCTCGTGCCCCAGCCAAGGTAGTGAAGAGAAGATTGATGAAGGTCATCTGCTATGATGATGGCATGACTCCTTGTGCTTGAAAACAACACCATATTTTTCACCTTTTGCAGTTGGCAGAGCACTCCACTCATTGCAGCCTGCTGACAGTGGGGCTTTTGTTACCTTTTGTGGCTTTATTTCAAGTAGTTCTCAGACCCACAAAGTCGTAACCAGTGCCTTGAGCTCATCAGGGCACTGGGCTGGACTGTCCCCCTTCGGTTCTTCAGTTTGCCACCCACTGTGGTTGTTTCTGTTTTGTGTTGTACTGTAGTGTGGAGGTCTTGGCTCTGGACTGGAGTCCCATTCTGCAGATTTAGTAGATCATTCCTGCCTCCCAAATTCACAGGTACATTAGGAGTGGTGTGGAGATAAGGAAACCTCACAGGAGCCCGCGGTGCTGTTGGCGGGCGATGGAAGTGGTGGGAGCAGGCGCAGTGTGTCGGTGGCTGTGTGAGCGTGGGTAGCTCAGGGACCACCATGGTGGCCAGCGGGGCTGGCTGGGACAGCTGAAGCCCCTGCCACTGCTGCTGCCGGCTTTCCCCGCCACCATTTCCCCCTGAGGGGCTGTTCAGGCAATAGAGCTGAAGAGGATGTCGCTGCTCCCGAGGGGCTGCAGCTTTGCGGAGGTGGTACATGAGGTGCAAACTCTTGTCCAGCGCACTGGGCTGCAAAGTGGGGCTCCAGAGCAGGTAAATGTCCTGTTCTGCCAGCTGGTGTGACACGTGTGATGTGGGACTGGGGGTAAATGGGGGCTCCTCCACCTAACTATCCACTGGCTCTGACAGGCTCTGCCCATGCCTCCTTGTCCCCAGGCTCTTTTGCCTGGTGGCACCAAGCCAAGGAGGGTTTTGGCAGCCTTTCCCACACTGCTGCTCCAGGCACGCTCCCTGAGCACCTCTTGGACTTTGGGTTCTGAGCTTTATGGCAGGAAAGGTCTTTCCCCTTTGTGTAGATGTCAAGCCTAGTAAAATGGGGTCCTGCACTCAATCTGGGAAAGAGGCTCTACCAAAAAACCAAAATAAACAAAAAAGCATAACAGAAATAAATGTTAAAAGAGTGTTTCCCAACTTAATATGCTTCTCTGTTACAGTATAGTTTGGGACAGCCCGGTTATTGAATGAAAGGCTCTCATTTCACCTCAGAGGAGCAAACACCTCTCATGTTCGGGTGGGGGTCCCTTCACAGCAGCCGTATGCAGAGGAGGGTTTGCAGAGGTGCACAGCTCCCCACAGCCAGCAGTGAGAGCAGCCTGGGTGCGAGGAGCTGTCGGTGGGACTCACCGGGACCTCGCGGTGCAGGATGTGCGGGCTGGGCTGGCAGCCAGGGCAGGAGCAGCGCTGGCACCCTGCAGCCTCCCAGCCCCGAGTCCAGCAGAGCACTGGGACAGGGGGGCACAGACAGCCCTGGGCATCCCCGGTGGCCCTGTGTGTCTCCTCTGGCTCTCACTTAGTTGTAAGTCTGGGGAGAAATAGCCTTTTAAAATTATTTTTTAGGGGGACTTTTGGTTTTGTGAGGGTAATTTCTTATGTCTATGGGCCATTCACAAAGCACTTTCTAATTCATAGATGTCTCTCAAACTCATTTTTCCATCTAACTTTGTAAATATTCTTTTTCTGTAGAATCAGGATTTATACCCCATACCACTTTCACGTTCTCATCTATGTTATGTCTGAGCTGTTTCTATGTTACTTTATTCTCTTTGTTTTTTAGTAAACAGATATAAAATCCTTTAGTGTGCCATGGTATTTTTTCCAAGTCTTTTTGGCTACTACTGTTTGTTACTTTTTTTATACGGGGTGCATTTAAAATATGAGTATTTTTATTCTTTATTTGCCCTGAAAGTCTCTAGTTAAAACTGGACATTTTTGAAGTTTAAAAGATACCAGGATGTCCCACAGATGTAGACTGATTCAGTTCTTAAAATCATTTGAGATCATAACTTTCTATAAATATCTGACATTAGCAGACACTTTGAAAACTTACAGAGCTCATTTTTCTGTAAATACAAAATAATAACTAAAACCAAAGACAACATAAAAAATTACAAAATATAAATATGAAGAAATGTTTATCAACTTGGGGTGCTTTTAAAGATGTTTTCTAAAAAATGCTATAAACGTATTTCTTTCTTTCAAAAACAGATTAGAAAGAGGATTCAATATATGCAGGAATGTAGTAATAAGTTTTTTGGCATTTTGTGCTTTTTAAAGCCTCTGGGTACCCTGAGAGTAATTAGTAGGAGATTTTTAATAAATAAAGATTGTGCGACCATAAAAGGAATCAAGCACTTGAAGGTCAAAGAACAGAATTTTCATAAGTCAATAAAACAAATTAGTGGGTTTCAAGGCTGCTTAATATATTCTTTCTTTAGATTGCTGTGTATTTGTATACCAGCATTGCACAGAACAACTTACAGAGCTTCTTGCTAGGAAGTTTTGGCTGAATTTGTTTACATTACAATCATTTTCTATCTTGAACAGGAAAGGACAGATATTAAATTCACTAGATTTCTCTAAGTCAGAATGAAAATACTTTGAAAAGTAATGTTGTTACAGACTGTTCCTTATTTTTGGGCTCCCATTTAATGTCATAATCATTACTTTGCATTTTGAAAGAGACCATGACAAGGTCTGCACCATGACAAGGTGCAGTACCATCACACTGCCTAACCCAGCAAAATAGCTGGGTTAGGCAGTGTGATGGTACTGCACAATAACCTTGTCCTGAACACAGGAAATGAACAAAAGTGAGGGCAATTATTAAAAAAAACAATGCAAAATCAACAAAACTGACAACAGCTTCCTCCACCCTGTCCAAACCCAGCCATGTCTTAGTTTTTAAAGCATGGAGATCTGTGCTGAAACATGGTTAGTTGATTTGCTCCAAAAGATAGGGAATTGCTGAATTTATGTAATTTGAATAAAAAAGCCATAATTTCAAGTTAGAGGATTTCAGCCTTGTGTGGTAAAACTGAACTACTTTGATGGCAGGGAAGGGATCCCCGTGGAAGCATTGCAGTGCAGTTGTCTGCCGCTTAGATGCTTTTCCTCTCAGAGATCATTTTCCAAACAGATTCCTCCATCGCAGACCAGTTTGACCCACTTTCAACGTTGTAAACAGAGATCAGAATTGGAGCGGGAATTTTCCTTGTCATATGAGGCTTCGCGCTCCATTAAGTTTTGTTTGTACTTTTATTTTTGGTCAGCCGTTCGACAGAAAGCGTCGTTTTGAGGACAGCTTTGTTCTTTTTTGGGGAAAACGCAGAAGGCGCACCGGGGAGCGCGGTGCAGCAGCCATTTGACACCCGCGGTGCCCCGCTCCCGCCGGGGCTCCCGGAGGGCTGGCAGCCGCCGGCTCGGTGTTTGGAGCCGGGCACGGGAGCGCGGCTGGCTCCCGCACGCCCGGGCCCCCTCCGCCGAAGGGAGCATCCCCAGGAGCCGCACTGAGCGTAGGATGGAGCGAGGCAGAAGCTGCTCTGCTGCGCGTGGGAGGCTGATCCAAAACACAGCCGCTGCCTCCTCCCGCTCCGCCGCGCTGAGGTGGGAGACGGGCGGCACGGGGCTGGCCCCGGGAGAGCAGAGAGAGCCCTCTCTCCTGCTGGATGAGACTTGGTGCATGGCCCAAAGGATCGTCATTCCCATTCCCCGTGGAGGATTGGGTACTGGCGTTGACATTAATTTGGTTATTAATAGGGGTAGTGCCAGGACTGATGGCAGCAAAGATTAAGATCTTTGTACAAATACCTCATACATCTGTATGATTCTCTTTTTAATGAGAGAGGTCTTTGGCTAAATGAGGCATTCTGAATTGTAATTTAGGAATAAATTAACCCTTTGTGGTCCACAAGGCAAATTAATTGTTGTGTATGAGCACAAGCACTGAGGGTTTGGACTGCTACATGTGGCAGCCATGTCACCAGTCTTGTCCCCACGATGAGAGTGTGCGCCTACGGCTCCTCTGGCAAAGGGAGATTTATGCTCACTTATCTCTCATTTCACACGTAAATATCAGGGCTAAGTATACTTCGCTCCTGTTGTGACAAGGTGTGACCTGAACATGATATTTCACGTGTTGTGAAGGAAGAAGAAAGGAAAGGTGTTTTGGACCCAGAATTAATAACAAGTGACGATTTTTGTAGCCCAGTATATTTGCAGAGGGTGCAATGCTGGCTGGGAGCTGAATGTGAAGCTCAAACAGAGCTTGAGGACATCCCACCAACAGTGCAGACATTACTCCTAAGGTGAAAATGTCCAGGTGCTGTCTGGCCCCAAACCAACATTT